TAAGATATTACGTATACATAAAATAAATAATAATGTATAAATAATATAACGAAAAACGTTGGTATTTATACGGTGATAATTAAATTTTTTCGGTTTTTCATAATCAAAAAATGTACCATCAAAATTCAATAAATCACAGTAAAAAATTGTTGTGTGCTCTAATAGGTTCATGTTTTGATAAAAAAATTAAAATCTTAAGTACAAAAATCACGATAAAAAAATTAATTTCACTTTTTATTTATTAAATTGGAAAATGCATTTTTATATATTTCTGTAGTTTTTTCTGCTGATAAAAAAAATACTAGCTTAGTATAATTACCATTTTTAGCTCCGTGAATAATGAATAGTTCGATAAAAAAATGGCTTAGGACATCTCTTAAACGTACCATAGTTAAATATTTTAAATTGAATTGTGTTGTAAACACTACAATATTTGTTTCTGAATTATTTATAAACAAAAATAGTTCACCTCGATATTAGTATTCATGAGTGAACGTGTGAACGTACATAGTGAATATTTTATCTTATTCGCATTGTGTCTATAGTAGTCAAACTATTAATATAATTAATAATAATTTAATTAATATAGGTTATTAATAATAGAATAATTATCATAATTAATATAATTCACGTAATTCTCGATGTAAGATCTTACATGGCTTTTCATACAGATAGTCCTAAGCTATATGTTAGGTACGGTGTCCAAATTATACACGCGAGCAATGACGGGTTAATATATTTCTTACTTTTTATCGAGATAAATTATTTTCATCATCTTTTTCATGGTCTTTAATTATAGCCCTAAAAAAAATCAGTTTAAAATATGATTTACACATTCGTTCTGTGCGTGCCCATCTTTCAATGTTGTATAACATTTTATTATATACTTCCTTAGCAAAGCGTATATTATATTAACATATTGTATTATTATTATGATGACGACCGAGACTGGATAGTGGATATGTACCGACAGTCGACCAAGACCACCATCGCTGGAGGTGAACGCACGCGGCCAGAAAATATAATCTCCCCCGGCTTAATCCCTTGTACCCGATTTGACTACATCAGTCGACCACATCGACAGCATTGCTGCTTGTTGAATAATAAATAATAAATAATATTATAATATTACGACACGTCCCGCCTTATTGTCCTCGACGTTGCACGGTTAATCTCTTCTCTTGAGTCCGCGCCACCGAAAATAACCAACGACGACATATGCACGAGCGCGCCGCCGTGGTCTACTCGTAGTAGTACCATCGATTGTAAATACAATATATCGCTCACTGTGATAGAAAATACGCTGCGCGGAAATTGAGTTTTAAAGTTTTACAGCTTTGACAAAATGCTTTTAAGTATTCTAATCTTTCAATATATTTAAGTTTAATATAATTCATAACCACTCATATTTTACATGGGTTGCATATTGTTGATTTTTACGATATTTTAACTCGCTCATAACTCACTTAGAAATTAAAATATTGTAAAAAACCAATGAGAGAACACAGATAACTTTCCTATCAAGATTAACCCGCACTGCCAACAATTTTCATTGATGGTTTCCCGTAGGTTTCAGTGCTATCAAGCATTACACGAGACAATTTCCTGTAATTGAACGAGTTATGAGAAACTTTTTGATTGGGTATGTGAAATGTTTTCGGTTATTACAGGTCGTCCAAGTTTAATAATCGTTTTTAGAGAAGAATACAGAAAAACAATGACTTAGAGTCTTTCCATGCTACACTTCTAACTCAAATGCAAAGACACCCAAATATATGGCATTTTCTTTGTAAGTTTTTGCAGTACATTTGTATATTAAATATTGCATCACTGTGTTATAGTTGTTTGCTATAAGTATCATATAATTTGAATTATTTTAAGTGGAACTGCGTCGAATCTTGAAGACTTCAAGTCGATAAGAATAATATTGAAGAAATTAGAATTTCCATTTCAAAAAACTATACATTGAAATACATAAATCAATCTTTGGGACTCAGATCAACTATGATAAAATCTTGTATTCTCGAGTACTCCAAAGGTATCAAACCATAGCCAATGTTAAAAAGACAAAACAGTTACCAACAGGTGTCAGGTACTAAATATTTACACTTCTTGGGGTGTTATATGATTGAAAAGTGGAAATACCAATGGAGGTCACCTATGTATATTAACAGTATTTTAAAATAATATTAAGGTAGGTACGTTTAACAGAAAGGGTAATGAAAAAAAATAACCCAAACCTATTATACCAATGTAAGGCAATCCTTGTTTAAATATAAGAATTTAGCATGTTAGCAATTTTGTTTTATACTCGACACCGGTTTCCAAAATATTTTGTAATGTGTTTAACTTGCAATCAAGGCAGCAGTCAATTGCAAGACATACAATGATTAAGTCATTAAAGTAGTGAATTCATTTTCTATTAATAAAAATCATTTATCAACTCAATACATGAAATCTCTTATAAAACTGCATTATTGATTGCACAATTTTACCGTATCCACCTGGGACGAAACATAACACAATAAAACAAATAAAACAGAGATAATGTACATTGTACATAGTACACAACAGAGAGTCTGAGCATTTTTTTCTAAGAAGAATTAGACATATTATTTCTAATGATTTTACTAAAGAATATTGATTAATTAGTTTACTTTTATTTCTTATGTTGAATAAAATAAAGTAAACTAAATTTAAGTTAACAATGGTGTAAAAATTATTTATAAATAATATAAATGAGTAAATATTTATCTTTTTGGATTTGCAAGGATTTGATTAAAATATTGTACTGTTAGTTCATCCAAATTAAAAGAATCTACGTTTATTTATTTTATAGCCTATAAATCCCTTAAACTTAAAAATAAAATTACTTAAGTATTTAATAGAAAAATGTTTACTTTTAATGATATATTATTTTTATTTTTATTTATAAGCTAGTATGAAAAAAAGTTTTGTTCAAAAATTATATTGAATTCTAATGCTACTTAAATTAAAAAACAAATATTTATCAAATTAACATAAAATTATTTATATAATTCTTAATGATTCTAAATTTTTATTACAACTTTTATGCCGGGTTTCATAAACAATCACTGAACATTTAATTAAACAATAATGGAACGAAATGGCTGATGGTTAGTTCATTAAATTTTTTGAATAATCAAACTAATTTATTATTCATACAACCCGACATAAGATATTCAGAGGATGTAACACTGGCATTTTTTATTTCTGTCTTGAAGAGCGCAACATAGCATATTTACCCTCAGTAGATAACGTGCAGCCTTTTTAGCTTAAAAATTAGAGTGAATCGACCTAATACACAATTTGATGGTAAGAAAATTTATTGTGCCTGCATGTGGGTTTTTTTATGATGATTCAATTTTTAAGACAGTTTTAAGCATTTTTTATTTATGCTATATTATGTACACACAAGTTGCTAAGAACTATCATAAAACCCCACATACAAGCGCAGATCATTTTCTTACCATCAAGTTTTATTATAGGTCGATTCACTCTAGTTTTTAAATTAACAAAGCTACACGTTATCTGCTGTGCAATAAATTTGCTATGTTACGCACTTGTAAGACGGAAACAACTAATGGCAGTGTTAGGTCCTCTAAAGAAAAAATATTACAGATAATTATTACAAATCAAGCATCCTCTTTGAATGTTTCCTTTTCATCTGCATTGATGTTATTCAAACATTCCATAGGTATACCAAAATGTTCTTCAATTTGTTTCAATACAGAATAGTCTGAACTATCACCTACAAGGTTAATAGCAACACCTTTTTTACCAAAACGGCCAGTACATCCTATTCTATGTAAATAGGTATGATAATCAGGTTCATGAGTGACTGTTACAGGCAAATCAAAATTAATAACAATCGTGACCTGCCCAATATCAATGCCTAAAATAATAAAACAGAATTTTAAAATGAATAAGTAACAAAATAATTATGCTAATTACCTCTAGACAATGCGTTGGTAGTAACTAGAAGTTTTTCTTCTCCTTCTCGGAAACAGTCCAAGACATATATTCTTTGTTGGACTGTGAGTTCACTAGATAATAAAGCTACAGCATGTCCTTGTTCTGCAATTTTATTTACTAACCATGAAGCCTTTTTTTTTGTCTAAAATAAAAACAAAATGTTATTAAATATTTAAATAATATAAACAAATATTACAAACAATTCACCGTCAGGCTGTAATATTTATTACTAACAATATTGATGTAAACCTATATAATATATATAAATGATGACATTTCTTATGGTCAGTGTTACTTTCAAACCTTTGACAAATTTAATATCAATGAACCTATATTTAGATAATTATTTACAATTAGTAAATATAACTTAGTTATATCATGCAATTTACGACCAACACAACTTTCCTGTTCAAGAAAACCAAATGAAGTAATATAAATTTAAGTGGCGATAATATTGATTAAATACGTTCTTATTGGTTTTCATTATTAATAATAAATCACATTTAATTTGAAAAACCAAATATAAATCACATTAAACTATATAGTTTATGATAAAACATAGCCCCAAACAGATTTATTATGTGAGATTACCTTTAATTTTTTTTTTAAGTATAACATAACAATTTATTATAATTTATAATCAATAATCCAAAAATCAAAATACATTTTAATTATTATTCATTGACCTATGTTTAATTTGAGATTGGAAGAAAAAAAATGTTTAATTTGTACCCAAAAAGTAATTGTAAACTAAAACTGTCAATTTTCTACTTTCAACTTGGAAGTTTGTTGTCCAATTTCAAATAAATGTTATAAAAAATGTTGCATACAATTATTTTAAATTATTATAGATTTGTAAAGCTAAGGTTTAAAAATGTAATACTAAGTCTTTCATACAAGTAGCTCATACAATATACCTACTTTTGGAAAAACAAATTCAACCTACCTAGGTATATGTTAAGTATTAGTTATTGGTTATGTTATTGGCTACATTTCAGTAAGATGTACATGAATTTATGTCTTCACTTACTAGTTGTAACTTGATATAAACAATTTTTTTAAGTTATAATAATACGGACATGTGGGCGTTGGGAATTTAGCCCAAAAGCCTCCCTCCTGCGTTCACTGCTGGTTTTTAACTCATATTAATATTTTGCTTTAATTACCTGACAAAAAATCATAGCTTGTCCAATAGTCACTCCTAGATAAATATTCATTAAAATATTGTATTTATCTTCTTTGTTGTTGCATTTTACATAACATTGTTTAACATTATCCAACATTTCTTCTTCATGTTTTAATGTTATGATGACAGACATTGGTGCAATGGCATTGGCCCACTTCATGGCATCTTCTGTATATGTGGATGAAAAGAAAATCATTTGACATGTTTCTGGTAGTAACCTTTAAATGAAATTAAAATTTTTTAATTTAAATAAAAATGTTGGTTAAAAGAGGTTAGAAGTTTTACTTTCTGATGCGGAAACATTGATCTTGATGACCTCGAGAGTCGATCATAATATCAGCTTCGTCCAACACAAATACTTTAATATGTTTAGGGTCAAAATGTTTCGACTTAGTTGCCCAATCCAAAACCTTTCCAGCTGTGCCCACAATTATTTGTTCCTTTATTTTGGAACCTTTTTCAACTAAAAATTAATTATATATTATGTAGTATTGTCTTAACAATTAAGAAATTATACACAAAAATACAAACCATATTCACCACTAACTGCAAACCTTATATTAACATTTGGACAGTAGGTAGACATTTTTGCGGCAACTTCCCCAGTTTGGAGAGCTAATTCGTATGTGGGAGACAAACAAACTACCTAAATGGAAATAAAATTAAGAAAGAATTAAATTATTAATTACATCATTTGTACAAAATTCTAGTCTTATTACCTGTGGATACTGAAATTCTGGATCAACTCTACTCAACATAGCCAAAACAAATGCTGCAGTTTTTCCAGTACCTGACTGTGACTGAGCAATCAAACTTTGGGGTCTATAATGTGGATTGTGGAATAAGTTAATTATATAAATAAACTTATGTATTATTAATATTAAAATTGTATTAATATACACTATAAAATGTATAGTTTAATCACTGTTAATAACAAAAACTAAAAATATTTATAAGATAAAAATGAAAAATACTAATATAATAGCATAAATATTACAAAAATCAATCAATCATAGGACGTGCCATCAATGGGTGACTTAATTAAAATAAATTTGACCATACTATATTTGTTACATTCATTGTGTATCTGTCAATTGATACAAATTGTATATTGCTTGTCAAAAAAAGTTAATAATTCAATATACTTAAATGCCAATTAATATATATTAGGATTAAAATATTGATTCAAGCCAACACCATTTAGTTGTCTCACAATGGTATCATATTTGAGTTTAATAGTTTATGTTGTGTGCAATATTTTTAAGATGTAGACTTACGAATGGGCCAAGAGTAAAGGCACTGTAGTTTCTTGTATCATTGACGGTGTACTATAACCCATTTCATAAACTCCTTTCAACAAGTTTGGATGACTAAAAAAAATGAAAACAAAAACAACTCAACAATGACATGCAGAATAAATATTTCTTAAGTATCTAATCATCATATCATAATAGTCAAATTTTGAAAAACTTACAGTCTAAGTAACTCAAATGATTTGATCGAATATAACGGTGATTTTGGGTCCCGTCTTTGCATCTCAATGTAATGCTTAGATGTTATGAGATCCGAATGCACAATTTTTTGCGATAATGATTTTACAGCCACTGCCACTCCTTTGTCCTCTTCATTAGAAATGTTGCTTTGACTGTCTGTAGTTAGCTTATTTGAGTTTTGGTTAACCAAGTGTGCATTAGTTATCTGTGTAGGTAAATTTATTTATTATAAAATAAGGTACCTATAGAAGATTTCCATTGCCCACCCGAGTAGCATTACTCAAGTTCAATGTGCTTGTATAAACACTGTGTTCATGTTATCTTTTATTAGCAGTTTATGAATGTGCCAAGTTCACTAAATGGTTCAAATAAAATACAACGTTGTATAGATCAACTATGTTCATACCACAGTTCATATATTGTATTTATGTGTTTCATGTTAACCCAATGGTCCCTACAAAATGTCACAACATTAAGAAAATCATACCCAAAATTCACTCAATGTACCTAAACACCATGCTCACACAATTGATTATAAACGGTAATTAAATGATTTATGTTTGCCCAATGGTTCAAGCAAAATTCCACGGTGTTTATGAAAGCATTCTTAAAAGTTCACTCAAAGTTTCTGTAAACACTGTCCACAAAATTTGTCATACACTGTATTCGAATGTTAATTAAAGGTTCATTTAAAATGTAGTATTCACAATCGCACGTTCGACTCAGAATTAATATCTGTAATTTTAAAAATGTAGAATGTATTATATTAAATTTTAATTATTCCTAAAGCCTCTAGATTTTTCAAATAATATGATGATTAGATATTATAATTTATATATATTATATATGATTAAAGGCGGTAATATCACTATGGCAGTACTTTTCTACAAAAACTTCATCATAGGACTCCTATGTAGAAATAATAACCTCTATTATAGCTTATATCTGGTTATTGCGGCGAATACCAATTTCATTAAAAATGATCATGCAATTGCAAAAAATAGTAATAAGTACCTGCCTACCTATTTATTTAACAAATGTAAACACATTTATCTATATATAATATACATATATTATAGGTATTCATATAGTCGATGCTTAAGGATAAGTATTGCTTATAAACTACACTATTATGATTCAAATTAGATTCATAAACAAAACTTAGGCTTGAGAAAAGAAAAAGTAAAAAGTATTACTTAAATCAAGGTTGGACGAGACCTACAAATAATTTTAAAATATGTTTTGTCTTTATTCCTGGTATATTAATTATGGTTCCTATTAAAAAAAACAATGATAATTATTCGGTATTTATTAGGTTTGAAGATAATGGACATAATAATAACAGTTTTAATGATAATAATTATTTATTATCAAAAACTATTAATTCTTTTTTGATAAATGTTTCTGCTAATTATTTTGTACTGGAAGATGAGAATAATATGTCTGTAGAAATTCAAACACACAGTATGCATTATAATTATTTTTAATTTAAATACCTATTAAAAGTTTAAATTGTATTTAAAAATGTCAATAATTCAACCTAACTGCAATTATATATCAGCACCAGTCACTCCAAAGATTGAAAATAAATTTAAAATTTTTGATATTTGATTTCTATATAATATGTAATACTTATAATCAAAAATAATATTTGATATATATATCATATATTTTATTTATTACATAAAATTTCAGTGAAAGGTTCCAGAAACCCTGCTAATTATATCGCTGAACTAAACAAATTTTTTTATGAACAAACAATTGAATTTAAAATAAGAAACCAAAATGTAATGCTGCGATTATTGATGTTGGTCAGATCTAATGGCAAAAATTGTGAAGCTGTCCAGGATATCGACGAGAAAGTAGGATATATGATGAACGCTGATACTAGATGTGAGCATTAGCATTGCCTTCATCTAATATTCCTACACCATTTCTTAACCTTTTACCAAATTTGTAACTGTTGTTAAAAATATGCTTTAAAATATAGTTGACGTACTCTAAAATAGTGAATAATTGGTAAGATTAAATAAAATAACTTAATTAATTTGTATATTATTAATATTTTTAAAGAATCAAATTATTAATTTTGTTTTAGAAGTCTTATATAATTATGAACAATTATGAACAATTATGGTACAATGTCCTTTAGTGAATCCAAAAGGAATGTAATTGCTTGTTGCTTTGACAAATATGTATTATAAAAGCAAGACAAAAAATAGTTTGTTGGTCTCAGTCTATTTGATGACATTTATGGTGAGTGAAAGAGTGAGTGAAAGAGTGATATATTATGTACTTTTTATTTAATGTTTAATGCATTATAATATTTAGAAAGTCCATCTGATCATATATACAGTTAGATCTATATTATATTGAGTGATTAGATAGATTTATATACATATTGATATATATAATCTGATTTTTGGAATTTTGAATATACTTTAAGAAAATAATTTTAAGTCCTAGAGATTTTTGTATTACTTGAGTGTCTAAGAATCCTATAGACGATTGCACTTCTATTTTCAAATGCAAACTTCCCATTAATACTTTTAAAAAAAAGTGGATAATTTTTCTAAAGATGTTGTCATATAATAAAAATTCAAACTAGTAATAGTTTCTGAGTTATTTAATTTTTCGTACTATGGATCGTTCGCACATCATAAAGAGTTTGGAAGACTATAATATATTGGCACTATAACGAGTTGAACATTATAGTCATTATTCTATCAGCATTTTTAATTTTTATAAATAGCCCAAGTATATCTATCAAAATTATATCAAGTGTGTATAATATAATCTATTTTTTAAAACCATTTTCAAGGACTTTATATTTTTGGTACCAACTACAAACATATAAATAACTATAAATATTATATGAATACTTATTCAAATTTTGAACAAGGTACATTAGAAAAATGTTTCAGTAAATGATTTATACCAAAAAATGTGCACTCCTTAAGTATATAATATAGAATATCTCAAGAATTTAATAAAATGATTTTCAAGTAACTGTGTTTAAAAATGCCATAAAAAAGAATTTGAATAAATTCCTTACACTAAAAAATGAGAGTGAACATACTTGGTAAATCATTGTATATTTATATTTAAAGGCATTATCTGATTTTCGACTTACACCTGAGGATGAATGACATTTTCAGCAAGTTTCGGATAACTATTTTCGACATGTGACAATAGAAAAAAAGGAAAAATTGTTCAATTCATAGTTATGGATTGGGGATTTTTCCATATTTATTTCCCTAAATATACTAAACATTCTTTAATGAAAATAACGAGTCGTATAGTTAAATCCTAAAGGAATACAAAATTATTTACCTATATCGATATTGTTATGTAGTAGGTATTATTTTATTGTGTTATTAATTAAAAAAACTTCAATATATATTTTTTATGTGGATCAAGGTTAGACCTATCCTGAGCCTCGTTAATACACAGTATGTATACACTAAGTGTGAATCCACACTTCCACTGTTTTTGCACTGAACCTTTCATTTGTATATGAACCAACCGGATCACTGTTTGTAAACAATAAATGTATTCTGAATATACACCATGCATAATAAAATACCATAACATTGTCATTGCACTGGCACGTACTCTCTAAAAGCAGGTTGTTTCACAAAATAACATATGTAAACACCTTATTCAAAATCTCGAAAACCCTGTGCATTGAACCAATTTTTCACAGTGCCTCGAATCATAAAGCTCTTAACATGATTTGACACAATTACTGAACCTAAATTTCTACTCGGGCAAATGAAATATAGCTTCAGAAAAAATAAAATAAATGTCAGTACTTACGTTTTTGTTGATTGATTCCATGGTGATTAAAATTACTTAAAAATAATAGAGGTAAACCTAGGACGAGTATCTATGAGGATAGGAAACTTTGATTTACAGCCCCTGGTTCGTTGAAAATGCTTTGAACAGTCGATTACTTGGATGTTGCCTGTTGCGTTTGTCTAATGCGATTACCACGAGCGTGTTTCAATACGATTCTCCATCCATGGTTGAAATATTTGAGGTTATTGCATATATACCCCCCCCCCCCTCAATCAAATATTTGATGATACAAACAAAGATAGTAGCGTAAAGAGAGCCAGCGAATTGATAAAATGATAAGACAAATCGATATATTTTGTAATTTGTGATATCTTTGGCGGGCCACACATAACCCTGCGCACGGGCGCAGACGCGCAGTGCGCACTGTGATTGTTCGCCCCAACTGGCTCCGGTAGCGACCACCAAGCGCCGCCCGGCTTCGCCCGCTCTTCACCAGTGACGACACCGGCAGACATCGCGATATAGAAACAACTAAACAAGCCACGAACAGCAGACCCAGGGGTGATCCTAAAGTTTATTTTTAGGGGCTTTGGAGAGAATCTCTCCGTTGTTCTAGGATAAATCTACTGACTGCATAGTGCATACTAAAAAATATTATAATAATCTCTTTTTCCTCCAGTAATAATTAGGGAACAGTTAGTTATGAAATCGCATATTTTTTTTCTATTTATTCAATTTAGTGCTGACCTAGATTCAAATTTGATTCATATTCTACTGAATCAAAAATACTATTTTTCAGATTTCATGGTTTTTATTTTAAATGGATATTATATAATTTTAAGCACATAAATGCATACTTTTTGAATAAATGTACAGCAAATTTAAGTACATAATTAAAAAAAAAAGAGTTGGATTTAAACGTTGGTAAAAATTTTGAAAGTCACTCTGGTAGAATGATTTTTGGGTTAATGATAGAAGAAGATTTGAAAGGTTAATCTTGTATTAGCTGCATTTTTCAAACATTTTCAAATGACATCAGTCAATGTAAAATAATTTTTTCATCTCACATATAGTTCATTTAAAAATATATACAGCTTTTTAAGGGCCGCGGGAGGGGCAAGGCCATCCCACTCGCCGATACAAATTTTAACTACAACTGTTTGGGCCGAGAACGAACCATACTGCGAGTCCTTGAGCCCGCTACCGAAATACTTCGGTGCGCTCAACACACATCGACCGACCTATGTGGTGTGTAACGCACTAACGCGTGTGTAGCGACTCAAGAGATGTGGACGGGTTCGCTAAGCGAGCAAGACTCGGAGTGCTAGTGGGTGGAGGGTGTATATGGTTGGGGGTGCGCTTAAAAAATAAAATAACGATGATACGGTTTCTGTTAACTCTGAATTGCTGTAGAATACACAATGTAACTAATAGTACAGTTAAAATATAAAAAATTCACAGCAACACAGCGTTATAAAAAGTAAAATAATACTATAAATCACTGCATTTTGGCCGAAAAGAATAAATGACAATATGGCCCTTCTGGCCCACTAAATATGTATACTAATAATAACGATAATAAGGTTTGAAAATTCACAATTTGACGGTGCACGGCTGGCCAGCTAGCAACCTGTGTCTAAATAAATTACAATGGACACACAAAGTATAATAGTAGAAGTGGCGATCAGCGCTCACACAAGTATAATAAAATAGTGGCGATTAGCGCTCACGCAAATATGTATATTATAATAGTAAAATCGGAGATTTGAGCACTTGAAATATTTAAAAAACAATAATAATATACGATGGTAAAAAGCACTGCCGATTTGCGTCGGGCAATTAATAAACTTAAAACACACAAGAATATAAAAAAAATTACAATTTTACTATCGGAGATTCGCGACTGCGATGTTCACGTTTTGCCTCGACAATAATGAGCGGACAAATATAATATCATCGATTGCAGTAACGTGCTAAATTATATTCGCAGAGCCGGCTCGGCAGCATGCAATAGCGCGCTGCTAATCTACATATTATTAATAATATAAGCAAGACTCACTGGACATATTTAAATAGCTTCAAAAATAAAACAATAATTACGTGTTATATAATGCACATGTAACACTAAATACAAAAATAAAATAATATAAATAAACGGTGATGCGCGTGTGAGTGTGTGAATGAATGTCGATCGGTGGCTCATTAGTTCTCTGCTTCAACAACAACAGTGAATGGTGTCCCTCAAATGTGTCCTTCGGCCCGCAATACTTTCTTATCTAACGCTGGACTCTGACGCTCCATTCCCGCTCCTTCTTTCGTTCTCATCACTTCCTCGGCAAACTCCTGCACAACCAGCCAGTGTTCCCTCTTAGTCATCATCCTGGTCACTAGCGATCCCGTTTCAACTTGTCCAATCGACCTGTGCAGCTTCTCCCTCTGCTGGTTGCTAGAGAGGGTATTACGATATTCTCCAATTTTGTGATCGCGTCTTCCGTGGATGCCCCTTTCGTGAAGCCATACTGTCCGTGGGAAATAATTTCCACTCTATGTACGTAGTCCTGCCGCCTGCTGGCAAGGAGAGCCTCCAGCATCTTCCCTACGTCGTTGAGGAGGCAGAGGGGTCTGTATGACGATGTGATGCTTGTTACTTTTACGCAACTGCACTAGGCCAGCACGCTTCCCCAACGCTGGGAACGTGCCAGTTCTAAGGCAGCGATCGAAGATTCCCGTCAGCAGCAGTAGGTGAGTGTCATGTACGGCGCCCCATACCTTGCTTGGGATTTTGTCCAGACCCGGTGCCTTATTCATTGCTATGAATTTTCACACAACGGTCGTGACTTATTTTACGCTGAATTCCTCGACCTCGGCCTCCCTCGTGAGGTTCTTGTTGACTATAGGAAGGTGCTGGAGGAAGAGGCTGTCGATTACTCCTGCAAGGGTATTCGGTTCCAGCCTGTTCAATGCTGGGGACCCCTGCAGCTTTCTCATAACGATCTTGTATGGCTTTCTCCAAGGATCGTCTTCCTACAAATTTGTCAGATCAGCCCAGCATTTTTCCTTGCTCCTTCTTATTGTATTATTCAGCCTTCACCACGCTTAATTGAATTCTTCGTGTTCCTCTTAGTACCCGCCAGCGAGCTCAGGTTAGCGCTCTTTTGTACAGAACGCATTCTTTCCTAGCTGACGCAATGTCATCGTTCCACCACGAGACCGTTCTCCTCTTTTGCAACGCTGGGGGCTTTACTTTTAAAGCGATGTCGCATGCCAACGTGACTGCTCTCTCGAGCTCCGCTGCAGCTTCTTCTGACCCACTTATCCGGAGTGTTGCCATTTTTTTTATAACTATCTATCTCAGTGTATGTTGCAGTTCCAAAACCGATTGGTTTTCTATCAATAATCGGTAACCGACTAAACGAATAGTGTTATTTTAGATAGTAGATTCGATAACTTTGTGGGAAAATATTCACCATTAAAAGTTCAGAATCACACGTCGTATACAATTATGACATACCTACACTTAATCTAACGATTTCCGTTTCCGGCTTAAAACGATAACCAAGTAACAGTATTATAATATAGTTTGGGTCAAAGTGTGCTAGCGAGGACCAAAAACATTTTTTGGGTGTGTATTGTATTCGAGTACGATGTGCCATATATAATATTATCGTCGAAACTGTGAATTCGAAAACAACAACACATTCTTGGAGAACAGTTGAGTTAGGTTAACCGTGAGTCGCCTGGTAACAATAATATTATAATAGTATAGTATAGCTATAGTAAATAGTTTAGCGATCGTAGGTATGAGCCTTAAGGGGATTCCACACTATCGCTTTTTAGAGTAAAATAGACCTAAACGCGTTCCAGCGTACTAACTTGAGTTTTAATCCTATAATAATTTTGAAAACATATTTGAATTCGTTATGAAGTCTATTTCGAATCCTTCGAAACAGAATATTAAAAAAATATTTTTTGAACTATTTATGTTCATTTAAATTTTTAAGAATACAAGATTTTTTTTCTACATTTCAAGTGAGGTTTCTTCTTTTTAAGCATAACAAATTAAAAATGTGGCTCGAAGGATTCAAAGTTGATTGAACAACAAAACAATATTTGTTTTCAAAATTATTATCGGTGTAAAACTCAAGTAGTTATGTTGGAATTCGTTTAGGTCTATAATTTACAATATTTCACCATGAAAAAGATTCGTTGTTAGACATAATGTGACATGTGCATGCAAGTGCGCAACGCTTGTCTAGCTCGCCATCAGATAATCGAGGCGTCGCTAACGAATTATCGGAAATCTAAATATAATATGTTCATCGTTCATGTAAAAATAATATTACCGATAATGATCGAAAATAATTTTTGTCGCTGTCGCCGACTATATTACATGACGTGTACATCGCGCTCGAGCATTTACGCTCACAATGATTACTTTATGTTATAATAATATTAGGTGATTTTGTATTTTTGTCTACCGTCAAGTCGATTATCAGATCTTTATTCTTTAGAGCACCTATAATAGAAGCATTTAGTTGTGTAGTTATACAGTTACAGTAGCACTTAGTTTTTTTAAGTCCGAAAATTTACCAAATTTTTTAAAAATGGGAAAATTTAAAAATAAGTGTTTATCGAAACGAAAAAAAATGAAAGGCAATGTACTCAATTTCCAAAAGAAAATAGTGGAGATCTCAAACGACGGCTTAGTTGATTTGTAAGTTTATTTGTATTGAATTATTTATTTTAAGTTCCGAGTGAAACAAGTTTATGTGCTTAATGCATATGCTATACAGTATGTCCTAAAAGTCCTGTATGACATAGCGAATCTCGACGGCAACTCAATATTTTTGAATGCGTTTTTTTCGAAAATAAACTTTAATAACAATTCCAAATCAACAATTTTTGAATTTTTTTTCAACAAATTCAAAATTGTTTTTGTTAAATTTTCAAAATAGATATTTTATTTCCTCAAAAGTAAATTAAAAAAGCTTGGTCAAGTTCGTAACGCTCTGCTGTATAGTAGGTCACTATAATTTATTTATTAAATTTGAATCCAATGATAGGTATCATTGTTTACGAAAAACGATTCTGAATGGAGATGATTTGACAGCCTAGGATACATTTTCCAGTGGTTGGTGAAAAAGGTGGTTTATGCGTTTTAATGGTCTGAATACACCAAACTTTATGTTCTTTTATAATTATTGTGAGCCAAACTTATCGAAAATCTTGTATTAAATTTTCAACTCTTAGCTACTTATACAAAAAAATGTTATGAATTATACCTACGAAAAATTTGCAAATATTCATGATTTAATCACTATAAGACTAATATAATATAAGAATCTTTGTATTTAATTTTCAAGTATTTTGATGATGAAAAAAATTTTATCGAATGTTAAAAAAAAAAAATAAAGTAAAACGAATATTTCAAATACCTATATATAGTATTTAAATAAGCGAAATATTTTGAAAATTAAGTCATGTAAAGACAATGGCAATCTAAATAACTGGTGAAATTTTCAAGTAAGTATCTACGACTTAAAATCGTTTGAGGATAAATCGTTATCGTTACTCGATTTCGTAAAAATATAAAATTCAAACGCTCATAACATTTTTCCTATAATGACGCTTCGTGTTTTCTGTATAGCTTTTTGAAGGAAAACTTAGTGTTGAATTTTTAACTTAAGATATAAATAAAAAAAAATTATGAATTTTCAACTTCAAAATTACTTGTAAATTGAAGTATTATTTCGACAAGTTTTGCTGTACACAGACACAAAAAAAAACACATATCATTGTAAAATCAATGCATTCATCACTTGGTTCAGAATCTAAAAAAAAAACAAATATTGAATTCAGTTAAAATTAACCTAGTTACAGATCGTAAAATTTTTGATTTTTTTAGAAAAATACAAAAACAAATATAGCATTTATCTAGATCAAACGCCAATTTATTAATAAAATATCAAGAATGTATTTTAGATTATTCATTAGTTTTTATCTTTATAAATAGAATCTCTAATTCGGCTTCAAATAATTCCATCCCAACTGCTGTAAAAGAAAACATCCATGGACAATATTCAAATACATTTACTTCAGATGATATGACGTTGGCTGTACCGTTGAACAATGTAAATGATGTTTCAAGTTTAACTGTGAATGGAAATAATATATTCGGCACTTCTTCCCCTACAGAAAAAAGATTTATAGATTCTTCATCTTTTCTTAACTTAGATGCCCATTTATCACCAATTAATGAAAAAAATAGTACATAATCACTCCAAAATAATAGTATGGAAATTGAAATTTGTGGAAGAAGAGTAGTAAATATATCACACTTATTTCAAGAAATCAAAAGTATTGATAACCACAGACCATTTGATTGTGGATTTAAAAATATGATATTAATTGGTGAAAGAAAGCTAGGCCTAAAATCAATTTTTAGCTTCAAATGTTGCATGTGTAATATTAAAAGAACTATATCGTCCGAAAATGATGATCTTATGGCTATAAATACTTCGGCGGTAATAGGTGCATTGAATATTGGATGTGGTTTTAGTCAACTGCAAGAGATTATGTCTGCAATGGAAATAACGACTTTAAATCAGAGAACGTACCAAAATGAACATGATCGGGTTTGTAAAGGATACGAAATAGCTGCGTTAGAATCAATGGATAATGCGGCTAAAGATGAAGCAGAACTTGCAATATCAAAAGGAGAAGTAGATGCCGATGGAATACCATTAATTACAGTGGTAGCTGATGGGAGTTGGTGTAAGAGATCATACAGAACAATGTAAAATTCACCATCTGGAATGGTAATTACAAATACATAAGCTTTATTTAGAAATTAGAAATAGTATACATTTTAGTGAGGAAATAAACCAATTAAAAATTGTTACTAGTAAATTCACCCTGTATGTATTTCTCTCTGAATATATATATATATTATATAATATATAATGTATATGTCGTAGGCATAGTCAAAGAATTTAATTTTTATGCAATACCACTATATTATGTATTATTTTAAACATTTCAGTTTATTTTCTATTAATTATTTATTGCTATTTTATATATAAAAAAAACTATGTATTATTTATTAATATGCAAAACACGTAGGTATATGAAATATGATTAATTTCATGTCCATCGGTACTATTGATTTAAAACTCAAATCTTAAATATATATTGGTAATTAATAATTAGATGTGTTAGTACGAGTATAAAAAATGATAGGTTATATTTTAATTATTACAAATATTGTTGTTAATTTTTATTTATTAATAGTTGTTACGTCTTATTGTTTGGTGGCATTTTCTGGAACATTTAATATTTTTTCTTCAAACATAACTCAATATAGATAAGGTTATCAT